AAAAAAGTTGACGTTAGAGAGATTATCTAATTTGAACTATATTTATAAAACACATAATATATTTTATAAAATATGGTCCAAAAATATGAATCTCTAGCATTTTTCTTTACAAAAGTCATACTAAGTGCTCTTATATTCTTTTTGGTTTCAGATCTGTACGAAATTGTTTTTGTCAAAAACACTTCTATTTATAAGTACTCTTAACAAAATTTCAAACACTAGAAAGCTTTTTTGATAAAGCGCACGTGCTTTCATAAAAAATAGTTCTAGATCCAAAATAACTTATGAATTTTTCTGCCGAACGTAGTTAGAAACTTAGAAAAAAATTGATTATCAGAAAGCGATTTGAAAAGTAGTCTTAAACAATCTTTTAGCGTATTCTTAACTTGTTATTGAGTAACAATGCTAAAGATGTTTTTGTACTTGTACCAAGTTTTTTTGTACCTCGTAATTAATAATAAGAAAATAACAAATTTCGGCATATTAACTAAAACTTGGTTAATAAGTTATATGCTTAATATAATTGTGAATAATAACATGCTTTTCAATTATTAATACTTGACGTTATAATATGAAGTATAATAATTTGAGTGAATTCATAATTACGTCATGTCAACATATTACCGTTACGCCAAATAATAAATTTCTTGAATTCTCTATGTTAAATTTTGCCTAAACCCCTTGCTTAATGATGGTCATGCATAACCCTAACTAGAAAATTTAATTAGCAAATACTTATCTCCTAATCTAGGGCAACATATAGCCGGTGGGAGAGGGTCACAAGGCCACATAGTTTTTTACTGCTAGGCTTTTGTTGGCTGTAAAAGTAAGTAAAAAGTTAAGTAGTAAAATATACAGAAGAGATCCTATACAAATAAAAAAAGAGCAAGAGGAAAAGGTTGATGGTGGTAATGCAGATGAAAGCAAAATGTCAACCACTAGGCTTCAATTTTCAGGAACTGAGAGATACTTCTCTCACTGGGTCGGTCACGAGGGTTCAATATTATTAGTGCATGTCGACAGCTTTTTACCCTCTTCCTTGTATTCTATTCATTTTCTTACTTCTATCGGAAACTTTTGACACGTATTATTATTTTATATGTTAGAATATAAGTAAATGATATCGTAGATATATATCTCAATTTTCGTTTATATTAATAAAAAATAAATACACACGTTATAATTTGAAAAACATAGTAACATCATGCCCGAGTATTCCTACATTGAAACCCTTCTCCTCTCTACCTTTTCATATGAGAGATGATCTTACACTCTTCTTTGGTTTCAGCCATTGAATGAAAAAAATGAAACGAAAATAATAACCAAGATTAAACAAGAGTGTGAAAAGTTAAAAAGAGTGCGTGTTTATCATTTTCGCTTAATAGATTAATTGGAAAAGGACCTAAATGTAATTCACATAAGCTAGTTTACGATATCAACGCAGCTATTTTCCTCGCTGTTAACGAAGCTGCAATACAAAAATGTTACATTACTTTAGGGTTTGCTTGGTAATGTAATCACTTATTAAGTAATCAGTAGCTAATTACCTTTTAGCCATAGCATCGTTTTCCCATGTGAATATTGGAATCGAAGACTTTGAGAACAATGAAAAGTTGTCCTTGTGAGGTCAAATACATATTAAATGTTAATTAGTAGTTAATTAGCATACAATTACTGGAATTACGGGTCCTTTTCTTGGACCAAAAACTAAATTCCAAAACAAATATTAATTGATTAAACAAGGACGAATTCGGACACTTCGTTTGGCGGAAGAAACAAACATTTCATGCATCTGCATGACTTAAAATACAAGATGCATCACAATCTTTCGTGTTGTCATATGTATTGCCATTCTTGGAGTAAAAAACCTTGTAATTATTGTCACAATGAAACTTGGCAACATGGAAATTGGATGGTTTTGTCATGACTCATGCATGACGTATCATATAGTGATGTGGCAAAATATATATTGCAAATTAGTGTCCATTTCAGCTTATTGTCTTGTTTCTTTTTTGTCAAGTTCAATGATCAAAAGCTTAAGAACTGTTTGATAACCATTTTGTTTTCAGTTTTTACTTCCTTTTTTTTTAATTGAAAGTTTGTTTAGTAACTACTTTTCAGTGTTCAATTAAAAAAAATGAAAACTCAAACTAAAATTTGAAAACACAAGGCCTTATTTTGAAGGGAACTGTTATTGGGACTCTAAAAAATCTCATTATGCACTCTAAACTTTCTATATTTAGAAAGAAAAAAAAATACAATTGAGAAGTGCACATTAAAATTTTTGGAGTGCTAACAACAATTCTCATTTTGAAAACTCTATAAAGTAGTTTTCAGTTTTCATGTTTTTGAAAACTAAATTAAAGTAGTTGCCAAACAAGATTTCAGTTTCGGTTAAAAAAATGAAAATAAAAATAAAAAATTGATAAGGAATTAGTTATCAAACGACCCCTTAATTACGTAGTGTGCAATGAAAATCTTTAGGGTATGTTTGGGTGAGGAACCTTGAAATTCCAAGGAACTTAGACAAAGTGATGAAGACATGGATCACAAAAAGTTAGATAAGAGGGATTATAAATGCATCTTCATGAATATAAACATAACATGATAAATTTGTACACTTTGTGATGCTCATTTGGTGCATTTTTATTTCCTCCTATTTAATTTTTTGTGATCCATCTCTTCCTCATTATGCATAAATTCCTTGGAATCTTGAAAGTTCCTCGCCCAAACATGCCTTGAGGAGTTTGTCTACAATGGCTAGGGTTCTTAAGGTTTCTCAATATGTTTTTTTTATCTTTCGGAAAATTGATAGGATATATGTAGAAAGATCTTTTAAATTGCCAATAACTTATCTATAATAAGCTACAATATTAAATTTTAGTACTCCTTATGAATATGTTGTGATCGTATGTTAGACCAAACATGAGATCTCCTTCAATCGAGTGGAGACTTGGTGCTGCAAGATAACTGATCATGTGTCTCAATAGGTGTTGAATGAAAATGTTTGTTGTTCGAGACCATGGTGCTTAAGTGGAAAAATATGAAGAAAGTCGAAATTCCATTATAATTAAAATTACTTGGTAATATTGAGAGGAGCCAAACTCCTTATAGGCTTATAGCTTTTGTATGGTTTGGTCCCTCACGATTTGGGACTTTGTCCTCACATTCTTACACGTCCCCTCACGTATTGCGAATTTTCAAGCCTACACATGAACAACACAAACATGATGACGTGTAACACGTGTAGTAGTTAGCCTTCACACACGTGTGGCTGTTTGGGCCAACCTGCTCTCATATCAACAAAGTTGGGGTTCCACCATAAAACCGTCAATTCTTATACCAACATTATAAAACATTATACTAAAAGAATAAGGTGGCAAATAGTTCATAGAAAATCTCACTTTAGAGAATTTCCTTAACCTTTCTCATTTAAGAATGGTTGCTGCATCCATGAGTACTAGCAGTCCCCCAAAATATGCAACAATTTCATCGAAAATAAATGCTCCCATCCAATTCCAATCTGATGAAAGAAAGAGGTTAGCACGTTTAATTTGTGGCAGGTAATAAATTAAATGGAAGAAATTAGGTTTGGTAATTAGTTGATTAACTTGTAGTGCTAGGGTTTTGTCTTCTCACTGTGGAGAGTAACAATAACGACGGACTGGTCTCCCAAAGACATCAATGTGCATCGCCAGATATCATAGGAATGGTCGTTCCAATTTCTGAACGCCAATGAAAACGTCAAACGCTTTACGATGAACCATGCACAGGAGAAAATTTTAATTGTGATGGGAACATATGTGGTTCACTACGTGTTTTCTATTGTTTTAATAGAAGTGGTGAGAATTTTTATTTTTTAAGTTATTAACTTTTTAGCAAACATATCCCACCATTTGTATAATAACACGTAGTGTACCTCCCCGTGTATCGATCACATTGAAAAATCTCTCCATGCATAGAGCCACAACCCACACCCTTCCCTTCTTTTCCAGTTCTTCCATATGTTTGTTTCTATCGCTAGCTAGCCTGCTTGGCTTCCACTAATCCTTATGTGTGTGTTTGAGACTGCTTCTGTAAATTTATAAGTGGGTATTGGGTATAGAAGTGCCTTTTTCATAAGCACTTGGGGCTGTCGTTCTGAATGTTTTGAGCTAGAAAGGTTCTTTTTATTATGTTTGACAAAAAAACTTGAGGCATGTTTGAGACAGCTTCACGAAGGGGTAAAAATTATTTATGATAACTAAAGGTGTTTATGACTACGTACGTTTGACAAAAAACTTAAATGTGCTTATGAATTGTAGAATGTTTTCTCAAAAAGCATATGAAGAAGCACTTCCAACTCTTTTTTTAGAAATTTGGAATTTCAATAAAAATTCATTGTATCTCTAATAAAACACTTCTTGTAAGTGTTTTCTAAAGAATCAAATCCAAACGAGCCTTATTAGTTTGTATATGCGATTATGGTTTTCTTATAGCATTTGTAGCATAAGCACTTATGAACAATAAATACTTCCTACAGAAGCAGCCAACGAGCAGAGAAAGCCCATTGTCCTATGAAGAGTAGCAACTATGAATTTCAAAATGCGCTTATGAGCAAAAGTGCTTCCTACAACAACAGTCCCAAAATATTTAACCTGCTACGAATAAAAGTGTTTACAAGCATAAAGTGTTTCCTGCACAAGCGGTTCTAAACCAACCCTAGTTATTTAATCCATGAGAAACAAATTAAAAGTTAAAAACAAATTATAAATGTCACTCAATACTACGGTCTGGTGATAATACTCTTCACTTGGAAGTGAGAGGTCTTAGGTTCGAATTTCGTGGATGGTGAATTCGATAACAAATTAAACTGTTCATTTTGTGGCTTAACCAAACTTCTCCTCCTCTTAGTGTAAATATATCGAAGCACGAAAAAAAAAATTACAAAGAGATTAAATTCATCCATCCACAAACAGACGTTTAGCTAATCGCCATTAATCCCACTCTCCCACCACGAGCAACCCTCTCGCCACCCTCCCTCCCTCCCACCTTTTCCTTCTCGGTTCTGGAAAAAACCAGATGCTTCCAAACGACATAACTTCGACGTACTAATATTATTTAAACTAGCTTACCACTTGGGACCTCGTGTTTTGCTTTGAAGTACTTCGAGCTAGAGAGAGAAAGACACACTGAGTCAGAGAGAGATTAAGAGAGAGAAAGACTGGAGAGATTTAAGAGAGAAGAAGGAATCCCAAAGCCGCTGTCCCAATCTTTACACCGTTATCTGCTTGGGACATTGCAATCCCCCTTGTTCCTCCCATTGCCGAGATCCCATTTTTATTATATCGGTCCAATCCATGAAGAAACCCGAACATCAAACACCTTCCTCTCTCTTTGTCCCAGTACTATTTAGTCCCGTTAGGTCCTCCAGGATCTCCAATAATCTTCCCAATGGCTACTTGTGCTCTTCTCGGTGACAATGGCGGCGATCGCATCAGCGGTAATGGCAGTAGTAACAACAACAATAGCGATAGCCTCGGTGGCGGTGGAGGAAACCCTTCTTACCCCATGAACAACAGCACTACCAATTCCAACAGCAGCAGCGTCGGGCAGCAGCCACCCAAGATGGTGAGAAAGCGAATGGCGTCTGAGATCGAAGTCCAAACCACCCTGACAAGCAGAACCGCCGGTTCGGACTATTTCAGGCTCTCCCGCCGCGGGATTATTAATAATAGTCCGCCAGTCCAGCCGGTTAATCAAAATCCAAACGCCAGTAAAGTGAATAGTAGTATGTTTTATCCCAACCACTCCACTATGCAGTTACCAGTACCATCTTCCACAAATTTTGCCGCTTTGACGTCACCTGGTGGGGCTTTATTGTCACCTACTTCTCCTTCTCCTTCTCCTTCTTCCGCTGCAGCAGCCGGCACCTGGGGTCCTATCGATCCATTGTCTTTTCATCGTCCTCTTCCGGTTCAGCCGACGACGACCTCCCAGACCACTACTACTCCTGCCGTTTGTGGGTTTTCAGGCCTGCCGTTGTTTCCGCCAGAAAAGACTACGCCTTTGAATACTAGTATTACTGCTACTACTCCGTCGTCCGTGTCCATGGAAGATGGGTCCTCCGCCGCCACGGCGTGGATAGACGGGATCATAAAGGACCTCGTCCACAGCTCCACCAACGTCTCCATCCCCCAGCTCATTCATAATGTTAGGGAGATTATCTTCCCTTGCAACCCCAGCCTCGCCGCTCTTCTAGAGTATAGACTCCGGTCAATATCCGAGCCGCTGCCGCCGCCTCCTCTGCCTCTTCCAGTTCCAAGCTTTAATCCAACCCCAATCCCGGACATAAGGAGGAGACAACAAGGTGGTCCTGGCCCTGGGGCTTTTAAGCTCAATATGGACTCCGGTGCACTACAAGACGTTGCAATCTTCAACCCATCAACGGTGGAAAACAATGACTTGTACTTGCAGTCGTGGTCTGGAGGAGCTGGCGGAGGAGGAGTTGGGCTGTCCCTACCCCAACCCAACCCTACTCCTGCCCCTATCACCTGCAACCAAACCAACCCACATCACCAAAGCCCTTCCTTCAATCAGGCAATTCATCAAACACAAGACAAGCAGTTAGAAAACTCTTCACCATCCTCCCCTGCGGCGGAGGCCACCACCCCAACAGTTGCACCCGCACCCACAACCACCCCCGCCACTGCCCCGCCAGAACCAACAACCTCAGCAGTATCCCTACTCAGAGAGAAAAAAGAAGAGATGCGGCAGCAAAAGCGAGACGAGGAAGGCCTCCACCTCCTCACCCTCCTCCTCAAATGCGCGGAGGCCGTCTCCGCCGACAACTTCGACGAAGCCACAAAAATCCTCCTCGAAATCTCGGAGCTCTCCACCCCGTTCGGCACCTCCGCCCAGCGCGTCGCCGCCTACTTCTCTGAAGCCATGTCGGCCCGCCTCGTCAGCTCCTGCCTCGGCATCTACGCCTCCCTCCCTCGCTCCTCCGTCCCCACCACCCACACACAAAAAATGGTATCCGCCTTCCAAGTCTTCAACGGCATCAGCCCCTTCGTCAAGTTCTCCCACTTCACAGCCAATCAGGCGATCCAGGAGGCGTTCGAGCGGGAGGACAGGGTTCACATCGTCGATCTCGACATAATGCAGGGTCTCCAATGGCCCGGGCTGTTTCACATCCTGGCCTCCAGGCCGGGTGGGCCTCCGTACGTGAGACTCACCGGCCTCGGAACCTCCATGGAGGCCCTAGAGGCCACAGGGAAGCGGTTGTCCGACTTCGCGGACAAGCTAGGGCTTCCATTTGAGTTCTTCCCCGTGGCGGAGAAAGTTGCGAACTTGGACCCGGAGAGGCTGAATATCAGCAAGAGAGAGGCTGTGGCGGTGCATTGGCTTCAGCATTCGCTTTACGACGTCACGGGTTCCGATTCCAGCACGCTCTGGCTTTTGCAGAGGTAACGTCTCTTCAATCCTACACAGTCCAATCCACTGCAATCCGATTCCAACACGCTCAGACCTTTACCACTTTTTCTGGTTAATATATATCATGAAAAATTCGAACTGGGTTTCTTTTGGGTTGCACTTTTTGATGTCTTTGATCGATGTTGGTGATCAAAGTATCAAACTTTATTAAGCACTATTGCACTAGCTAGCGCTGACTAATTATTTAACAAATAGTGATACATTGGGTTTAGATCAACCGCAACTTTCATGCACTTTCCAAATCTAGTAACTGCAAAAAGCTGCACCTTCGTAGTGGGCAAGAAGCAAAAATTAAAGATTTGATACTTTTTCTTTTATTCCGTTCATTTCTGATCTTTAAATTGAAAAAGTTGAAGCAGATAAAATTAGAATTAAACATAAGTGTGCTTAGGAGAAATGAGTGTTCGAAAATAATTTTTCGTGTTTTAATCAACGGCAATATTCAAACTTGGATACATTTCGGTACAAGGGTCGGACTATGTCTCATGTCTGCATGTTTTATTAAATATTACAATGCACATGTTATATATATTGTTTTTTTTATGTTTCTGTTACTGTATATTGATTCAGATTGGCGCCAAAAGTGGTAACGGTGGTGGAGCAAGACCTGAGCCACGCGGGTTCGTTCTTGGGCCGGTTTGTGGAGGCCATACACTACTACTCTGCCCTGTTTGATTCCTTGGGAGCGAGCTACGGCGAGGAGAGCGAGGAGAGGCACGTGGTGGAGCAGCAGCTGCTCTCCAGAGAGATTCGTAACGTTTTGGCAGTGGGCGGGCCGTCGAGGAGCGGAGAGGTGAAGTTCCACAACTGGAGGGAGAAGTTTCAGCAGACCGGGTTCAGGGGGATTTCCCTGGCGGGAAATGCTGCAAATCAGGCCGCCTTGCTGCTCGGGATGTTCCCTTCCGATGGGTACACTCTGGTGGAGGACAATGGGACTCTTAAACTGGGGTGGAAGGATCTCTGCTTGCTCACCGCTTCTGCATGGCGGCCGCCCTTTCATGCCGCTGCTAATCCAAACCTACACTATTGAGATGCTTTTGCCCATGTATGTATGAATACGATGCTTGGCGTCGGCGGTTGATGAGTTTGAATGTATTATCTTGTTGTGCTTACCCTACTTTAATCTTTTTTAGTTGAAATTGATGTTGAGTTTTGGAAGAAAACTTGGGTTTGGGGCCTATGGGCCTTGGGGAGGGAGAGGCTAGGCCTTCTACGTTTATGTTCGAAAATTATTTATCGCACTTTTTTTTTTTTTATCAGTGAGCGGTTGAGATTTAACTAAATAAGCTATAGTTAAATCTCAACCTTTCCTATTTTTTTCTTCTTTCTAAAATAATGCTCAGGTGAGACTTGCTCTTGCTCCGAAAGGCTTTAAACCATTGCCAAAAACTCTACATTGTTGCATCGCCTTGCAGTCGAGTATGTATCTTAGTCCTAGTGTGGTTCGATGATCCTCTGGGACCAACTACTGATCATTTTTAATAGAGAAATACTACCAAACTAATAATTCAACGTTCAATGCCCTATTTACAAAACAAACGTGTTATGTTTGATTCAACACCACCCAGGGGAATTTGGAACACTAGTCTTTTTTGGGAGCCCTAGTAACATTTGCAATAACTTTTGCATTTAGACCTTTTCACTTTTATCAAATATTATGTATCATTTTGTACATAAAAACAAGACATTTTAATCATTTCAGCTAGGGATTAAAGATGCAAAGCATAAAATATAATTTCAAAGACATTAAATGTCTGGTTTTTGTGTAAAAAATAACACGACGTTTAATAAAGTAAAACTGTCTAAATGTAAAGATAAGTGCAAAGGTTGCATTTCTCAAAAAAAAAAAAAAAAAAAAAACCAAGATTTAAAAAAGGCCTAATTGGATAAATGGTCCCCGTGGTCATAAGGTATTCGGATGATAGCCCCTGTGGTAAAAAAATTCGGATTTAAACCCCTGTGGTCTAAGTCTGTTAGGATTTAAACCCATGTGGTCTAAATCTGTTAGGATTTAAACCTTTCTGTTAAATAATGCTGATGTGGCTGCCACGTGGCTGCCAAATGGCTGCCACGTGGCAAAATAATAATTTTTAATTTTTTTTTAAAAAAAACCTGAATTAAAAAAAAAAAAAAAAAAAAAAAAAAAAAAAAAAACAAACAAACAAACCGGATCTGCAAGAAGAAGAAGGAAGAGGGAGAGGGAGGAGGGCGCGAGGAGACGGCTCCGGCGAGGGGGGAGCTAGTCTCCGGCGGGAAGAAGAAGAAGAAGAAGAAGAAGAACAAGAAGAAGAAGAAGAAGAAGAAGAAGAAGAAGTCGCGCAGGGAGACCGGCGGGAAGAAGAAGAAGAAGGAAGAAGGAGAGGGAGGAGGGTCGCGCGGGGGAGAGGGCTCCGTCGGGGGGGGGGAGCTGGTCTCCGGCGGGAAGAAGAAGAAGAAGAAGGAGAAGAAAGTCCGGCGGGGTGGGGGAACGGGCGGAGGGCGGAGGGCGGAGGGCGGGGGGGATTTTCTGGGTTTCTGCGTTTTTTTTTTTTTTTTTTTTTTTTTTTTTTTTAATTCAGGTATTTTAAAAATTATTATTTTTGCCACGTGGCATATATGTGGCAACCACGTCAGCATTATTTAACCGAAGGGCATAAATCCTAACAGACTTAGACCACAGGGGTTTAAATCCGAATTTTTTTACCACAGGGGCTATCATCCGAATACCTGTTGACCACGGGGACCATTTATCCGATTAGGCCTTTAAAAAAAGGGAACTTTAACGAAAAGCACCCGGTACTGTTCACTTTAACGAAAAACCACATTTTTACACTAAAAAGTCAATCCTGGTACTATTCACTTTACCCTTTATTTTGTCCTTATCATTAAAACTCAAAGTTTTCAAGCCATTTTCATTAGTTTTCTTTTAAAAATATAGTCACTCAAGATCCTTCGAGAGGTGACAAACCATCCTCAAGTATGCTTGAGCTCACCTAGAGCAGTTAAATAACTCTAAACCTACACCAAAAGTCATTAATCGAAAACTTCGCCACTTCTGAGTCGGGTCGTGTTCAACTCGTGCTTCTTAATTGTCGAAAAGCATAAGCGACTATCTTACCATGTTGCATTAACACGCAACCCAAACCCTATCGTGAGACATCATTTCAAGTGTCATTCTCATTTCTGACGTATCTTTCATTTAATAAGCACAAACACACAAAGAATGAAAAAAAGTAAAGATCTGAAGAGGAAGATGACAACACACACTTTTACTAATGGTAATTGAATTGATTTGTCAGAGAACAACAAAGCTGATACAAATTATAAAGTAGTTAGTCCACTGATATCACCTAAGAAAAACAAAAGTTGAAAAAAATTAAATAAAATAAAAATACAATCTCAGAAGAAATAGTAGCTAGCCACCCTTTCCTGTGTGCACATAATTATTTGCACAGCTTTCCCCTAAGCAGAAAATCTCCCCTTCAAATCATCACTTCCACCGGATTTGCCCGTCGAAATCGCCCTTCGTTCTCCTAATCCGGTAACCTCGGAAGCTTAAGCTGCCATCCCGGGAGCTTCGTCCTTCTGCTCTTTCCAGAAAGAAAAATAAATGTTTTGAGTTTTTTATTTACCAAAAAAATCACACTTGTGTGTTTGTGAAACTCTGGGCGGCTATCACTTCCTCTGCCTTGGAAGCTTTGATGAAAAATTCTCAGCACCGGTAAAATAAGGCATCCATCGGTAAGTGCTTCAGGAGCCCCATGCTTCATATAAAATCTGGTAGTGAACACGGACAATCAGCTCATCATGAATTCACGTTGCAGTCGCTCAAGAACTGATCTTCTCGGCTCAGAAAAATCTTCCAGTATCGTTTATATTTTGGGATCCCTAACTCAAGCCAAGGTTTCATCTTCCCGTTATAGTGCAACACTGCAGCTTTCTTTATCGGATAAACATCTATGTTATAGTCATGACCTAGCCCAGAGAGAGCCCAAGAACCGTCAAGAGGATAAATCAAGTCCCGAAAGGTAAGCAAACTTGCATGTAGTGCGGCAGCTTCATTTACTCCCTCTTGCGTCATCACCTGCAAATAAATCAGAAAATGCGAATGGCTCACAGACAATTGTATTAGCAAACCAAAAGCTAGACATAAAAATTGCTGAAATGGTTTTCAATGACGATAACATTTCACCAAAGATCATGAAACCCAACGGGGTCAAGCATTCAATCCTAACTCAAGCTAAGGTTAATGTTTTTACCCCCTCTTTTCCAAAGATAGTTAAAATAATTGCAACGATCATAGGTATTAGGTGAACTTAAAATGTCACTCACCTCCGTTACAAACTTTTTGTAAGTTTCAGTGAGATCGAGCTCTCTCCACTTAACCAGATCAATCACATTCAATCCAGACATCCAAGCGCATGAATTTTTATCGAAACTGTTCTTGCCAAGAACACTCTTCAGCAGACTCAACTTCACTGAGCACAACTGCACAGCAGCATTAACTTTCCCTTCCATGTTGAGGCTCCATAGTGCAGACAAGTCCTGCTGGACAACAACATCATCATCCAGAACCACAACTTTCTCCAAATTCTGGAATATCTCAGGGAGAAGATAGTGCGAATGAGAAAAAGTAGATAAGTATTCGGTCCTAGATTGGGCATCAATGCTATAGGAGACAAAGAACTCCAACGGCAGTGAAAGATAGAGTTTGCGGTTGTCCAGATTAAGCTGCTCCATGTTTAACACCTCAACTGTGGCTTCCTTGTAAGTATTTCTGAAAAACCATAGTTTCATAGCAAAGTAATTCTCTTGATCTGTCAGCACATGAAAAACAAGTTTCCTGCTATCCTGAAACATGGAAAAAAATTTAATCGGGATCATCACTAGAAGTGAAGCTAATTAGCAGCGAAATACGTATGAGAGAATAACTAATACATACTTCTGCATGCATTACAGTTGAGTTGATTACAACTGACGATGCAAGTACATTAGTGGAGAATATGACATAGTGCTGCAATGTACGATCAATGTATTTGTCAGCCAGAGAGGAGTCGGTATCGTCAAAAGGAGATCTAAAATATTCCACAGTCAGCCTCATTGACAGGCAGTGGTGGCTCTTTGGCATCGTCTGGACAGCAAGTTGGTAGAGAAAGACACTTTGTCTCATGTGGAAGTTAGCTTCATCCTCAGTCATGTCATATATTTGTCTCAGTTTCTTGTCAACGTTATTACAATCCACATGGAATGTTTTGGCTTTGGCTGTTGAAGCTTGCAACCTTTGTAGCTTCTTCTTAATCCTGATGAAACAATTGGCCATGTGCTTAGTTCAGCGGGGAAGCCGGACACATTGTCAATGCCCATGAAAAAAGAAATCTAAGAAAACCAGTATCGGACTGTCCCTAGAACAAGGTTCGAAAAATAAAACAGCAGCACAAATTTGCAAGAAAAAAAGAATGAATTACTTTCGCATTTTCAAGGCGATGCGACAACGAAATTCAACCAGTAGATCTTAAAACATCAATTGCAAGTACAAAACCCTTTTATGTTGTCATTGAGTGGAAAATGGGGAAATCACAAATAGTTTCCATAACTTACTGTGGGGGAAGATCAGCATCTGTAGTACTTTCACTAAGTACACGCTCCACCTCCTGAATATTTTGTCTCATCTCACGAGACAACTTGTCCTGTGATGAAAGTTTCGCTATACTAGGAAAATATGCTCGAGCTACAAATAATTGATCCTTCAATCTCTTCACCATAGCATCCTTCATGTCTTCTCTATGTTGTTCACGCCAAAGGCAGTAGCTCCCAAACTTCAACTCACATGATTTTCCACTTTGATCCACACCACCTTTGGCATAATCAATGATTTGAGCTGAGTCACCAGCTTTAGAGTTCTGCCAAAAAGATTCAAATTAAACAGAGGAGAAGACGATAACTATACAAGGACTTCAGAAAAGAAAAGGACTGACTTATACATACATTTTCAATGGGTTGTGATTGCGGATCATCATGAGGTGGCACTGAATATCCTGCAGTTATTAAAAATAAAATTTAATTTAATATCTATTACATGGCAAGTAAAAAGGATAGACAAACCTTAGAAGGCATTCAACATTAACAGACCTTTTGCTTGTTCATTATTGTGGACGGCACTGGCTTGTTCATTGTTATGGACGGCATTGACATTTTTGGTTTCATTTTTGGCTTGATGTGAAATAGCTTTATGCGAAATATTCTTTAGTATATCCTGGCACAAAATAAATAAAGGTAGAGAAAAAAATCAGGTCACTGATGACTTTAGATGCCTGCATCACATCCTCAAATTATTGACCATGTTTGTAGACCAAATGAATAAAATATTCCTGCAATGGTTCCTATA